TTATCCATCCGATACGAATCTGGCACCAACTTACCGTCCTCGGGTAAAAAGCTTGGTTGGTTTGGGGCGGGGGCAGATCGAGGATTTGATCCTCGGACAGTGCGCAAGGTAAGCGTGGCACTTGCTACTGCACCACCTCCACCTTGAAAAAGGCAGTATAGTTATGAGAATCTGTTCATCCCACTAGACGCGGAATAGGTCTACAATTGACATTTGTCTTTTCTGGTATAAGATACTGGAATGTGTTTTCGGCTGACAAAGTGACTCTCAGAGAATAGCTAATCCTCCCATAAACTTGCCAGCTAATCCTCCTAAACAATTTGTGGTTAGAAGTAAAGTCATCTCGCCGTCCCCAATCCACTAACACTATAAGAAAAAGAACCATGCGCTTAAGGGCTTTGCATTTTGCACTTTGCATTGCATTTTGTATTGTGTGCTCAAAGCTCTCATGTGCATTGGATTTTGTGGTTAATACCGTCGCAGCCCGGCGGGAGGTTGTCAGGAGGTATGGAATGAGCCCACCCGCAGTCGCGTTTCCTACCAATAATAGCCGGTTCAAAGGAAATAACCAGTGGCAGAAATGCTAGGGGTGGACTCATCTCACACCTAACACAGCCCCGCCAGATTACGACGTTATCAGGTGCACATTATCTCGATATCAATGTTGTGCATTTTACAGTTATTTTTTAAAAAATCCCTTACAATTATCAACCAAACGAGTTTGAAATTAAGTGCAAGTTTGTTAAAGTGACATAACATTGGTATTTCCAGGTCCACCCGTTCCAGAGGGACCGGTGGTCGATGAGTTGATCATCAACGCTGAACCGGATCTCAAAGATCGACTTAAAAATGTGAGCAAAGGTGAGTGGCCTAGTCGCTTTCCTGAAGGCTTTGAAATTCTCTCTTGCTTGGACTCACTCAAGTGGTGGAGTGCTGCTCAATAGCTGTCATTGAAATTTGTAAGTTAGAAAGCCTTACGGCCTGAAATTTCGATCCAGAATCCTGTCTGTGTGCAGGGTGGGCAGGGCACCACTTCAGAAGCTGCAGCTTTTTGGTCACCAGAAATTCTATGGCAAGGAGGCTGGGGTATTGTGGTTGTTTGATCTCCCCGCCCACAAATAACATGGATGTCTATAGGCACAGGGAGTCTACTCCCTCTCACTAAGATGCAATTTAAAATCGTTTTAATCTAAAAAGTCGTCTTTGGAGATAAAACGACTATTTCTGCTTACTACATAGTTAAAACAAACAAAAGCACAAAACACTTCCTTATTCTTAGCATTCTCGTCATAGATAGAGAATCAAAGTGGAAAGATAGTTCTATGAGAGATTAACCCACCGGAACCACTTCGGCAAGATGGGCCAAAACGTCATATATGATTCCCATCTTATCGCCACGCACTTGACATTACCACATTTCAGCCCAGCGCAAACATTTTGCCTAAATCGTGCGCAGTGAAACTGAGGGGAACTCTTTGTCATTACTAACAACAAGTTTGTACTAGACCTAGTTACAGTTTTGTTCGCTGCGGATGGAGGGATGAGTCATGTAGTACGCGGTTTTTTACAGCGCTTCATCAGCGTGGGAAGAGTCCGATTTGCGCCGCGCAAACCCATCCCGCTGACACGACTTTTCATTCCACCGCAAACAGACGTGTATTAAAGAGCTGCCTCAACTTTCCTAGATACTTTTCTTCGAAACCCGCCGAAAAGTTTCACAAAACCAAAATTTTGAACATTATCCTGTGAGAGGGTATCAGACACAAACAGCGCGAATGGGCGTCCACATCATTTGTGGGCGGGGAACATCGAGTGACCACAAATCCTTAGCTTCTTTCCCACGCACTTTCACTTTTGGTGATAACTTGTTCACTTATGAACTTTCCACCAAAAGTATGAAACTGCACACTTTCGTCAAGCTCACTGTAAGCTGAGTGGAGTGGAGGGTCCTGTTTTGAGTGATCTTAAACAGCTTTCTGGAGAACGTCCCGTAAATGGGAAACATTCCCAAAACACTATTCACACACTTGTCTCAATTTTTGAAGCAGTATTTTATAGCACATTATTATTTGTATAATTATGTAGCATTCATATTGAATAACAGCTCCCAATTTCAGTGTCCAAAGAACGCCTTCTACAACTTGCCGCTCGCTTTCGACGAAGCAACGCTCATCTAAACGCTTTCTAATTATATTCACATTTTATTTGCCGACGATTTCCTTCATATCAATGAATTTTGCGATTTCCGATTCCCATGTTCATTCAGCAGACAATAACCCTGTAGATAAAGCTCTTATTAACCAGCAAGTCATTCTCTACTGTAGTTTATAGAGTGACTGCAGCTTTACTTTTGCATCCGCAAGGACATGAATATGACCACTCATTCTTAGATTGGGCTAATTGTAAATCAACTTAGTTCAGATAGGTTTGAAAGAAAGCGAGGTACAAGAACATCAATGTAAATTTCATTCGATACGAATCAATATGCTCCAACAAAGAACAAATGGAGAACAGCCTACCCTAATTACAAGTTTTTTTTAAGATGAAGTTTCTGAAGTTTCTTTAAATAAGTTCTCCGCTGAGATCTCGTTAATCCTCAACACAGTCTGCTCTTGGCTTAACCCTGGAACAAATTATCTCGGAAGAGGAAGTAGACTCCATCAAGACAATGAATATGATATAACTCACAATTGATAACTTTAACGTGATTGTGATTATCTCGAATATACTCCAGTTCAGGGTATGTAGTAGTTTTTTCGACGACAGTTGCCTCTACTTTTACCGAATTCAGTAGTGGCCTGCCAAAAACGGAGAACCGGCTCCCTCCGACCATCAAGACCTGAAATATTGGAAACTCAACAAATCTTTCCTATTGTTGCAATGATTCTCGATAACTTTGTACAAAATGTTTCAGCGAAAATCTCGGCCAGCTGTCGAAGGTTTCCGAAAACTACTTTTCTTCCCAATCTGGTGTCCAGCGACACGAGGTACAGACTCATGGAAGACATTGTTTCTCGTACACTGCTTGCTCTTCGAAATTCGGACCAGATTCTGGTCGAAAGCCGCAGGGATAAATCGACACCCTGAACACGGGTATAGCATCCGTTAGGAACGATAGTGTCTATCATTCGCGCCTCGAGTGCCAGCGCCCCAGGTAGTCTAAGCGCCGGCGCAAGCATCAGGTGCTTTCGCGCTGAGCTGCGGTTTTCGTGTTCAAAATACCGTTCGAGATAAGTTTTCAGCAGATCTGGTGTTTTAGGCGGCTCAAAACACCAAATCCAGGTAGTCTTGGTCAACATGGATGTGATGTTGGTTTTTTGGAGTAACAAAGCACCTCCGAAACAATTTTTCAGCTAAATACGTCGTAGGGGACAGATTTTTGTCAAAATCTGGCCTGAATTTCAAAGAGAGGGGCAGTAATAGTGCACGACCAGACTGATGAAGCGCCTACATATGGGGAACGCTCTGGAACGAGAAACCTAGGAACGAGAAACCTCTGCTGTTACAAGAACAGCTTGGGATTGATGAATGATGATGATTACAATTCTTTTTGAACTTAACTTTCGAGCAATTACGACCGAAGAGTTAGCCTTCAGAGGTAGTTAAGACTGAGCTCTGAGCAACAATATCTACTTTTAACGAAGTACATAGTAAAACTGTTCAACAGGGAAGCAGTACAAACCTTCTCCAATTTGATCTTATCCCCAACGGCTATGGGCAGGCTCCCTTTAAGTGCGATAAGATCATTTTGCCCAACTTTCCACTGGCGTCCATTCACATATACAACAGCAAATAGCCGATTTTGTGGATCAGAAACCTCAGATGCAATAGATGAGCAGACCTGCAATGTTACTCCCATGTATTAAGAGGGAAATATAGTCTGGT